CGTTCATGGAATATGTCACTGAGCCCAGCCCAATCACCTACTAGCTTTTTTGGAGTCTGCGATTATAATATGATTAAACGTCTACATATAACTTATTCAACTCTGTGAAATAAATGTAATAAGTATATTTATTTTAGGAAGGTTCTTGAAAGATTATTCCCCGAGTTCGACTTTGCTTACTTAGCATTCAGAATTCAAGTTAAAATTTGTGATTAATTATTATTAATTAGTGAATAACTATTAATAATTTGCTATATATTATTATCAATGTGTGATTAATTATCAATGTATTATTAATTATTATTTGTAGAAAGTGTACCGGTCAAAACAATAAAATGAAAGTCGTCTTGGCGACACACAGACAAGCACGCGAGATCACGTATTGCCCCCACATTAGTATTTTCTGTGCTTCCATAGCTAATTTGCTTATGATTGCATCTAATTAGCATTGTGGTGTGCTTTATTTCATGACAACAAACGGCAACAATACTCCATTATTCCTTGTACATTCAAGTCGTGAGTTCGTAGACCCTGGGGGAGAACTTTCGCTGAATGCAGTACTATTGTAGTGGGAGCCACAACGACACGTACGCGTCAAGACATGCCCGCGGTGTAGTGTACTATTGACAAACGTTACCACAACCATGAAAGGTACTACCTTCCATGCCACAACTAACAAGCTATGAACAATACGATAATTTCCTATCGCTAAGTTTATCCAATAAAACTTGACGTAACAAATGAGAGTGAACGTGATTAGCGGATCGAATATGAGACAAAGAATGTGGCGCGTGGCGGGCATTTTTAATGAAAGTTTGTCTTTTGGCTCCAACCATGGATACCCCCATGCTCCAACTAAACATACTATTGCATCATGGTGCTTTAGAGCGAATACTTCTCACCGTGTTTGGCGGAACCTACGTGAGTCTGACATTGGATATTATCATAACAATTACAGCTACGCTACAACAATAAATAGGGATTTTTGTTTATTATACTATTCGTTGATAATTGTCTGTTGGATCATGGAGCTAAAAAAGATCTTTTTTTAGCTCCATGGTTGGATGTACACCGACATGTCTATACAGGTGTACACCTACTGTCTGTACGAGACACTATGGTCAGGCCCTGTCCGACTAACAATCCTATCGAAATTATTTTTTTTTATTTATCGTATTGTAAAATAAATTAAATATACTTTCAGAATATTTTTTTTTTGATTGGTCACTTTTTTTAATTTCGAATATTGAGAAAGAGTTGACTGATATCACTACAAATTAATCGCAACGGCAGGCACGGTTAAACCCAATTGTTATGCACGTGTATTTGTACGTATCGCATCGGTGAGACAGTGCCGCGGATAAGACAAAGCAATGACACTGATAAGATATAATCATGAATGCAAGAAAAATATTAGTGTGCCGTTGCGTGATCATATGATAAGTATTCAGTATTTAATGAGCTCCCATGAGTATCCATATCCTTATACAAGACATCCCCTGGCGGATGTATGAGTATCTGGTTTCTTTTGGGTCGTCCAAACTTTAATTATTTGCAATACTGGTGTCTCTAAAATAGCATTTCAATTTTAATAAACCAACGTTAAATTCCAGACATAATAGCTAATAATTCATAAACATTATTAATTGGACAGGGCCTCGTGTCAACTATTGTGGTTGTCATTTGCATAGGAAACAAATGACCTCTTCACAGCTATGCTTGCCATTGTTTGACCTACCTGAACCTCGCCGCATATTTTCCGCAGTTCATTTTCTATTTTCTCCCGATATTTTGAACACAATTCCCGGTTAGTGTCCTTCGTTTCCGCCTCTTCGATGGTGGAAATTACTCGCCAAGCGTTGCGTCTCGTACCGATCATATTTTTGTAAGCAATCGAAAGCAAGTTGCGTTCGTTCTCGAGCAGATCGACGTCCGATTCCGTCAGGGTTTTCATCGACGCTGCCATGTCATCGTAACGTTCAGCCTGCTCAGCTATCCTAGCCCGCAATACCAGAGAAGCGCGATCTTCAACCATCGTAGTGTTGGATAGTGAGTAAAAGTAACAAGAACCAGTGGTCACCTCTGCAGTGTTTCCCGTCGAATACTCGAAAGCTTCCGGGTGGAAACTTTGGGAGTGGTCAAATATATTCGCCCAAACTTCCTCTTTGCCGAAATTCCCAGCTGGTCGAGCACGTGTACGAGTCACGACACAAATTTGTAAATGTATGAAACCGCGTCAATTATTAAAAAGCATTCGATTACAGGGAGTTTCGAGACAGTGGTATATAGGCACGACCACTTTAGATCGGGTGTCTGAGACGCAAGAGTGATCTCGTTAAATATTCATGATGTCGATGACGTCACTCTGTAGACCAGATCGTTGTAAGTTCACTCAGCATGTTTATGACCACAGCTGCCACGGGGATATAAGTTATTCAAAATCGCGTAGTTTTAATTTTTAGTGTCTAAACGCAGACGATTTACATAAAAATGTATATTAATAAACAGTCTTGTTCTTTAGCAATCAAATTCCCGCGTCCATAAATCCCTCTTTACCCAAGCGTCGAACCCAATATTGGATCGTATACTATATATTGAAAAAATGTATTAAACACGCGCGGATTTAGGGAGAGGCGCGCTACTACTACCCCCCTCCCGGCGCGCGCATAAAAAAGACAAATCAATTGGCAAACCCAGCCCACGTCAACAGGGGCGGGTCCAGCAAAATGTATGGGGGGTCCAAGCTTCGCTTAAAATTTACGAAGCGTAAATCGCAGAGAAGCTATGCGTAATCCAGATGATGTGAATTATCTTTGGGGGGGCATGGCCCCTGCCCCCTGGATCCGCCACTGTACATCAATAGGAGCGCGCCCCCTAATATTGGGCGTGCTGGTGGGTTGGGGTGTCTTACGGAACTCTTACATCCAGTTCTAGTTTCGTTTTACGTGCATGAACAGCAATCTGTTATCACTGACGGGTACGGTTGGTAGATAAGAAAGGAATGCGGGTCGCTTCAAGCCAAATGTGAAATAAATTGTTGTACGTGATTCACCTGTCATACTATCTACTGCTCAAGTGTCAACCTGATCGAGGTAAGTCGGATATGCTCTTTTAAAGCGGGGGAGTCGTCACCTGCGCATGCGTCAGATGGCCATAGCGAGTTATTGTTTACAAACAAGCGTCTACCCATGAGCCATGAGCGTTTTTAGCGTGTGTTGTTATTGTCGCTTTGGACTCAATTCCCGCGTGTGCACAGGTGACGACCCTCCCGCTTTAAAATATGGAGGTGTCAGAAACCGTTAGTTGAAAATCCCCCTTGATGCCCCCGACAAACGCTGAACAAACATTGTATGTGCTACACTTATAACAGAACGTTATTATTATGAGTTATTATTATCCCCGAGCTGTCCCAAGAATGAAGGAGATAATATTATCTCCGAGTGGGCCAAGAATAGAAAAGATAATATTATTTCCGAGTGTTCCCAAGAACGAGGGAAGTTGCCATTTGTCTCTGAGTTTTCCCAACTTATGACAGAGATAATATCCCTGAGCGACCCAATAATAACGGAGATAATATTATTTCTCAGTGGTCCCAATAACAAGCGAACTAATTAATAAATAACAATGATAATGTTATGTAGTAATTTGGAATGAAAATAATAATTTCAGTCAAATTATGCTGTTTTGATTATTTTTGAATTTTATGCCAGTAAAATGAATTATTCATGGCATCATGATAATTTCATGTTTTCAGAAAAACTGTTTTAATTCAAAACGTCCTATATAATGATTGTTATTCTCCTTTATAATCAAAACAGTCTTATCTGCTTTTCGCACTGCAGACTCTGTTTTATTACAACTTTTATTACAATTTTACCATATTTGGTCATAGCTGCTACCATATTTGGTAAAACTTTTTAAAAATAACGGTGTTTCGTACCATGTTTGGTAAGATCCATGCCATATTTGGTACGACTTTCTTAAACAATATAGCTGCTACCATATTTGGTAAAACAATTAAAAAATAACGGTGTTTCGTACCATGTTTGGTAAGATCCATGCCATATTTGGTAATACTTTATGAGGCTGTGGTGATCTTTACATAGTTGGTGTCAGACTTCTTTAAACTTGTAGCTCCTACCAAAATCAAGCAAGATTATTTGTTCGAAATAAATGTTTGGTAAAATTCATGCAATGACTCATTCCACCATTGACAGAAAATACAACATTGCCACGGTCTGCCATCAATGTTCAATGTAATTCGCTGAATAAAATGATTCTCGACCCATACCGAATTTCTAGTGAATACGAAATACTATATATCTAATATTTTTTTCCTAGAGTGTGTAGTTGATCTGTGTATCACAGAGGCGGCGGCACGACATTTTGCATGGAGGGGCAAAATCTGCTCATCATCCCTCGAGCCGATGCCGCGACCATTACTAGGGGGTCCAGGGGCATGCTCCCCTTAAAAAAATGAAATCTATACCCTCTGAAACACTATTTCCTGCATTTTGAGTGGCAAATTTTGCTGACACAAATGGTTTCAGTTTGATTTTAGAGGGGACGACCCCCCCCCCGCATTTTTAAAGGGGCGACCGCCCCGCCCCCCACTGTATCATACCATGTTCATATTGACAGGCTGCCGTCAACATGTTGCAGCTTGTTGATTGAAATGGACACGTGTTCTATTCCTTGCAACAAGTTGCAGGTTATTGATGGTACTCAACTTGCAATATTGCATGATCCACGAATCAACATTTGTTGTAGCTTCAGTGATGATCCTAGTATGCCCTTTACATGCACACGCGTGAACGCACACCCCGTCTATGTGATGAAAAACAAATATTATTTGCTCAATTTTGTATTATCTGAAGATTACAACTAGTACAAACTAATATATAATGATATGATTTATTTTGGCCGGCGTCCCCTGGCTTAGATAATGGTATCTATATTACCAGTCAAATTATCGGGGGCTATAGATACAAATGTTGTTCAGTATATTGAGAGAATAAATTATATTTATATACCCGAGAACCAACTACATTCTAGTATTTTTGTTATTTTATGTATATCAGAGCTAAGACAATGTGATTTTCTTCTGTTCTGAGACCCAAACTATGTGTTCTTCAGTCGCTCTCTTCGAAATCGTCCAACAATACCTCTTCTGGGTCCGAGGCCCATAACTAGAAAAATAAATATAAAAGTCTGCTTTACTGGTATAATTACTGACCATGCTATATTCTACGTACTACCGATAGTAATATATCATCACTTCAAACGTCATGGGTTCAAATGCCCCCACACATACACACGATACATAAGTAAGAGTGCAGAAAGTATTACATTCCGACAATACATCTTTCCATGAATCTTAGACTTGCTATCAAAAGAAATGAATAAAAAAAATTTAAAAAATGCGAAATACATGTATATTTTTTTACGAAGTATGGTGGACACTTGTTTTCTAATCTCCAATTTTGATTACCATGACAATTACTTACAGTGAGATTGTCTTTGAGTAACTGGAGAATCAGAACGCTGTCTTTTTGCGAATCTTCGGTTAATGGTCCTAACTCAGATACCGCCTTGTCGAACGCCTGTAATTAACCCCGATATCATCAGTATTTGACAAACAATCATTCAATGGAACAAACAGATAAACGGGGCAACATGAGTTCGACATAATTTCAACCACCAGCAGAAATAAGAAGTGCCGACAATGAATGAACCTGCGCCGTCAGTTGATCAGTTCACGTGACCAACTAGTGTGAGTTGTTTCCCATGTGACGTCATCTCGGTATAACACGTGACACGCCAAAGAGGACGAGAACACAATTAACGTACAGCGGATTGAATTGTCAGAAAGGTGAATCGCAAACAAAAATGGAGTTTTATCCAATAACGCGTTTGCACATGCCGAAGGCATTTCAAGCAACCGATTCGGATGAAAATTCCCCTCTGATAAAAAAAAGATACAGAATAACGACGAAAATTAGTTAAAGGTGGTCGAAATATAGTGTCAAGTAACGGCGTAGCGGCCTATAACATCGCCTCACACAGTCCCTCCAGAAATTTGTGGAGGGACTGTGCTCGGGCCATCTTTTATTGAACACATTGCGGTATTTGAATAATTAAAATAAAACATAAGGCTAGAGGGTCTGTAGACCGTCTACCAGCATATGATGTTCACTTTACCTCTTGTGCTAGGGAGCACGCCTTATGTTGAGCATTGCTGATTTCATAATGAAATACAGAGTAGTTTAACGCCAATCCCAGGCGTACAGGATGCGTTGGACAGAGAGAGTCAGTCGATATTTCCAATGCTTGTTGGTACGCCTGCTCCGCTTCTATGGCATCCTCTGTGGTATAGAATTAAATAGAGTAAGTGAGTAGTATCAGAGGTACATTACTTGGAGTTTGCAACTATGGTGACATGATACCAAGATCCCGTTTCAATCTCGCTCTCGCATAAGCGTTCCAACTCAGAAAAACGCGAATGCGCATGCCCGAGGTAACTAGGATACTGGGATGTCCAGGTGGATCAAAATAGCTGCTCACGATATGACGGATTACGATAACTATATTTTCTGTAAATTTTCGATGTATTACATGTTTTCACCATGAATCTGGTAATACATATTATTGATTATACAGATTATTGATTATTACAAACCGCCTATTTCATGTCAGAAGGTCGTATCATCAGTCTCTACCAGACTATCTACGAGATGAGACTTGAATGGAATCTTGACATGATGTCACCATACAGTACTATGCGCGTTGCAAACCCCAAGTGAAAACCCTGACTAAAATGCGATCATATGGTAGATTTTATGCATTTTACCAGATGTACATTTCGAATCGAAACCCCCAGTAGGCCTACTGTGTAACATCGGTAAATCGGGCGAAAAGGAAAACGGGCGAACCGGTAATTGGGCGAACCGGTAATTGGGCGAACTGGTAATCAGGCGAAGGAGTTCGGGCGAAGTGACTGTACCCCCCCCCCCCCAAGTAATGTACCTCTGGTAGTATAGATAATATGAGATGTACTTATTTTATAGTCGAGTAAGAATGCCACCGATCGATTTATCAAAATTAATTCCATTTAGCAACAACATTTACGTATTATACACTATTATCTATTTCATATCATTTAGTTCATATCATACACAAATTTTGATGTCCTGTATATAAATTTTTATAAAATAAATTCGTATAAAATGGACGTACATTTTTTGACTAAAATAGGTATTAATATCGATTTTAGTTTGCAACCGTTTTCGTTCTTACTAGCATTTGTCTCAACATTCCCAAGACACATTTTATGCATGTCGGCTGTTGTATTAGCGCCACCAGCGGTCATATTGAGAACATACTTACTGCATTTCCGGTCCGAGTCTGATCGCACTTCGGCTAAATATCGATGATAGTCGCCTTTCATTTTTAAATAGAATACTTTAACGCACGGATCTTCTGTTCTGTCGAGATGTTTCGCAATTAGTGTCTGTGGATAAGACATTATGACAAGGCGTACGGTGAGTATAGGTGAGACATGCACGTGACAGGTCAGGTGATCGGGTAATTATTATCTATGTGACACAACGATTCAAATATTGTCGGCATGCTTTTATTTTTCCTGTCAATGTTTAGAATATTAGTAATAAGGTAATAAGATGTGCAACGTGGCGACAAGCGGACGCTCGTCTGCTCGGGTGTATCAATGGCGTCCTCATTTCATCCACTGAACCACAGGGACTGTGACTGAACTATGGACAAGTTATAGCGCCGCCACACACAAGAAAGGAGTCAGATTCCGTCTGACGTCACAACGCATGGCATATTGCCACCCTAAGACCCGTCATAACAATAATTAAAAAGAAAAAAAAATGATATTAGTTGATAAAAGAATTAGTGTCAACAGCCTCAGATGGGGGTCGAACCCACGATCTTCGGTTTACGAGACCGACGCCTTACCACTTGGCCACTGAGGCAACACGGTCCTCCTGATGTATTTTTCTGTATATAATACCCTCACATGAAATCATAATACCGGGCAACACCGAAATAGTGCTGGTTGCTGGTGTTGTAGATGTTTTGCCATAAATAGAGTTGATATTTCGATATTATTAGCTACAGAAACGACAATTTCTGAAGCTTTGCAGAAATACACATTGAGTGTAGCAGTATACACGACTACAATGTGCCCACATTGTATTTGTATTCCCCCGTTACACATACAATATACATACAACAAGTAATTCTGCCCTGTGTGTATGTTGCGGAAAACCTACGCAACGCTAGCGGCTGGTCTTTACCCCCTCTACAAATATATTTACAGTTTTTAGCGAGTTTCCCGGAGGTCGAAGATACGGCGTTTCTCGTGCGTGCGCATGTCGTTTTGGGGTGTAACGTTAAACTTGCATGCGTGATATTGTGCTTCTGGGTGTACCAATCAACGTCACAAAAATAAAATTCCCTTATATTGACCTTATGTTTGTATTTTAAGCCACGACAAAGCAGGAGTATTTTTGCACTCCAGTCTCGCTACTTCCGGTAAAGTGGTCTATGAGCACTTCGGGTCGCTAAAACTAAAACTGTGGCTGCTTGGGTGAACATTTGTACTATTATACAGAATTAATCTTAAAACAGATATTATGGCCCTCAATCATGGCAGTCTTCTATGTCACGCTCGTAGAGCTGAATGCATGTATGAACACTAATATACAAGTAGAGAGTTCAGGAACATTGATTGAATTTTATTGAGTTGTATCATGGACGCCTTGTTTTACCTTCGTGGTGTATAACTATAAACGTAATTTTAACAGCTTAACCCAGTTCGCAATAGAACACTGAAAAGAGATGCACACGGAGCTGTACACTGCTTGAGTATAGCCTTATGTCAATACCGTTCTCTTTCAACAAATACACTATACCACGATTACTAGGAAAATTCTTCCAGTAACCGTGACTATACGTAATAATATCACAGTATTTCCATATTAATAATAACAACCTTTATTGATATCGTATCCCCTCTGGGATATAGATTAGAATACAATAAGGATATAAGGAACAATAAAATACATAATGAATAACAATAATAATAATAATATCATTATTATTATTATTATTATTATTATTATTATTATTATTATTATTATTATTATTATTATTATTATTATAAAAAGAAATATTAAAATAAATAGTAATACCGTGAAAATATTATTATATAAATATTTGTTAGTGTTATATAGAGGGACTGTGGTATAAATATGTAGATATACTACTGGCAAAATACGTAACAAATCAAACACAGCGGTGCCGTTCCATGGCAAAGTCCACGACTCTTAGTTCCTTAGCGATACGTGGGGCAGTTGATACATAGCTGGGTAGAGAGGTACCCCAGAGTGCTCAAAGGTGTGGCAATTTTTATACCTGGATAGTGGCAAAATATATACCCATATTTATACCAAAGTACCATTTCTGTCATTACTGTTTATTCCAAATAAAACAGTTACCGTATTTGCTCTATTAGAAGAGCATCTCCAATAGAAGCACATGTAAGCCAATTCACTGAGGAATGTGCGCCCTCTTCTATTCCGTGTTAAATCTCCGTTTAAATGTTCATTGCCTTGTTTAATTCTCCGGGTTGATGTATATATGGATCTGAGGTGGAGATATTCGCTCATATACGGACCCATAAGTATACCAAATCGGAAAAATATTACTGATAGTTATACCTATCTTGACCAGAAATAAGACCGATGATTATACCTAAAATCCAAAAAAAAACGAGACCCATTTCAGGGGCACGTCCACATTAGGCAAGTTTTATGTATTGCCCCCCCCCCCCCCCGGGTTAGAGATACGAACTGCGCAACCACATCTCGAACGTCTCGGAGCGCGCTGGCGGGACTCCCAACACGCGACTAAAAATCACGCGAAGTCACTACAAATTCTTTGTATTTACTCTAGTAAGATATCATATGATAAAAGCAAACATGGCAAGCTAATTATTTCATTTTGCGTTCCTTTGACAAGTCAGTGGCGTAAATCAGATAAATTCGGGGAGAAGGTACATGGATGGAGATAGACAAACGAATACTAGTACTAGTATGTCTGATTGGCTGACATGATCGTGACGTATAATAATAATAATAATGTATACATGTATCACTTTCAATCGTGATATATTAGTATATACTAGTAGTATAACGAATAAATATCAAATTGACACTTAAAATATACCCCTACCACCTTCCATGTATATATATGGTGGGGTCGACACCTGCACACACACGATAAAAACGCAAAGTGTCACGGGTAGACACTTGTTTGTAAATAACCAACATTACGGGCATCTGCCGCTTGCCAAGGTGACGACTCCCACAATGAGAACATGTTCGTCATAGTCATATAGCTGTTCTTGTGCAAAAAGAAGTGTAAAATGTTCTACACGGTGTCACTTCTATTCTATTCTATTCTATTCTATTCTATTCTATTCTATTCTATTCTATTCTATTCTATTCTATTCTATTCTATTCTATTCTATTCTATTCTATTCTATTCTATCACTTCTCCAGATATTGCTGTGTTCAATCATGAGCTATAGTTCGATACTGTAGAACACGTTGAAATAGCTGCATGCAATTTTAACGGATTTGACTCTTGGTATGAATTAACGCAATCTTAATTTAGCTAAAATGTCAACTATCTCCCTGTGAGAATATACTTTCTGTTAAATTAGCTACATCTTGATTTAGCAAAATTACAGATTAGCTAAAGGCGTCGGTCTCGTAAACCGAAGATCATGGGTTCAACCCCCATCTAAGGCTCAGTTTCAATTATTTTAGATTTATAAAGTACAGTCAGTCTAACGACATTCTATGAATGAAATATTTTCTTTTGTTCTGTCTTTGTGCAACATGTCGCCTCAGTGGCCAAGTGGTAAGGCGTCGGTCTCGTAAACCGAAGATCATGGGTTCAACCCCCATCTGAGGCTCAGTTTCAATTATTTTAGATTCATAAAGTACAGTCAATCTAACGATAGTCTATGAATAAAGATAATTTCTTTTGTTCTGTATTTGTTCGACATGTCGCCTCAGTGGCCAAGTGGTAAGGCGTCGGTCTCGTAAACCGAAGATCATGGGTTCAACCCCCATCTGAGGCATAGATACAACTGTTTTAGATTCATAAAAGTACAGTTAATCTAACGATAGTTTATGAATGAGGGCATTTTTTTTGTTTTGTATTTGTGCAACATGTCGCCTCAGTGGCCAAGTGGTAAGGCATCGATCTCGTAAACCGAAGATCATTGGGTTCAACCCCCATCTGAGGCATAGATACAACTGTTTTAGATTCACAAATGTTGGAGTCAGTGCGAAGCTATTTACAAGATGATTGGCTAACCAACCCTAACACCTGACAGTTAGACCAATCAGAGTACCGCTTGTTTGTTGACTGTTTTTTCGACACGTTAAATTCGGCTTTGCATAAATGCTTCGACCCAACTGCAATGTTGATTATTCGGAGAATACGCACCTCTACGTTACCTACAAATTGTTTTTATTAACAGGAACACATACATGTATATTTAAAAGCGTGGGAGTCGTTACCTGCGCATGCGGCAAACGGTCGTAGCGTGTCGTTGTTTACAAACAAGCGTATATCTATGAGCCTTCGCGTTTCTAATGTGCGTTGTTATCATCGCGTGGGAATCAATTTCAGCGCATGCGCAGGTGACGTGTCAAATTCTGCCTTGTGTAACATCAAAAGTTCAATGTAGGATAAAAATGTATGATAAAAAACTTAATTCCTTTAGTCCCCCGCCCAAACTTGTTTAGGTCCCCCCCCCCCATCTCCAAATTAAAACAAATAAGTTTTTTATCCGACATCGATCTTTTGACGTCGTTGAAGCACTGATTCCTCGGAGAGTACGCACGTCTTATTGGAAGCGTCCTAAGAAACAATATTTAAGGATGCAACACAGACGATAGCATGCAATCTTCACTATGGTTGTTACATACTCTATGGTTTTTCATAGACACCAATAAATATTCGTAGATCTTTCAAAGTCTAACGATATCCTATGAATGACATCAGGCTTTCTTTTCCATCAGCTTAAGTATGTCGCCTCAGTGGCCAAGTGGTAAGGCGTCGGTCTCGTAAACCGAGACAGAACTGATTTTTAATTTATGAATGTGTTTCACAAATCTCGCCACTTGGTCCCGGATTGATTACAGTGAACTGTGTTATGCAGAATTGAGAGATATTAAAACACAAATATTGTATTTTTTCTGTTACGTACATTTTTATTTTTTTTAATGAAAAATAAAAAAAAAATCATTTTTGAGTAAAACCGGCACAGATCAGAATTCATTAGATAGAAAAGTGTAACATGTTGGTGATCATCATTCATTTTCATATTGACCATTAAGTTTGAAAAAGGGGGCCTGATTCTTATGCCTAATATAGGCCGTCGCACTGAGACGTCGCTATGTGTCGCTCAGTGATCAGTAACTAGCTGACGAGCTGTTGTAACAACGTTTCCTACAGGCTGTTTTATTAACAGGAACACATACATGTATATTTAAAAGCGGAGGAATCGTCACCTGCGCATGCGGCAAAAGGTCATAGCGTGTCGTTGTTTACAAACACGCGTATATCCGTGAGTCTTTGCGTTTTTAGCGTGTGTTGCCATCATCGCTTGGGACTCAATTCCCGCGCATGCGCGAACAACGCCGTTCTTTAATCTTCGGTGCGAACGACTGATTCCTGCTTACCAGTCATTGTGCTCATGAACGAGCGCAAACCGTAAACATGTGCGACGGCCTATAAGTCCACCATTATTATTATTATTCATTCGTCAAAAAAAAAAATAATAATAATAATAATGAAGTGTTTTTCATCGAACGAATTCTATCATAAATTATAAAGCATTGGTCACCAACATACAATATCATACATTGAACATTATAGGCTTGCATGCAGTCTATTGTTTGTTTTTATTGTTTGTTTTTCCAATAAAATAATGTATCATGGGAGTGTGTAAATGGCGAAATCCAGGCTACCGCGACTCGGAAAGCCGGGTTACCGCGAAATAAACATTATTATTAATTTGTAGAACTATATTGTCTTACCAAAACGTATTAAAATTATTTTAAATGTGAGATTGGAGTAGTAATCGTCGAAAGTTGCAGATTATGTCCCTTTAGACATTACGCACTTCACCAAAACGTATTAAAATTATTTTAAATGTGAGATTGGAGTAGTAATCGTCGAAAGTTGCAGATTATGTCCCTTTAGACATTACGCACTTCTCCGTTCATCAGCAACATATCACTCCACGCTCACGATGTTTGGACAATTTGTTGACCAAACAGCAAATGGATCTGATCACATCTGCAACCACGATCCTCCCATCTATATAGATAGAGGGACTGTGCTGCAACCAACATTGGAATCTGCGAGTGTAACCGTGCACCGTTTGTAACGCCCTTTCCGGCGAAGTGATCAGACTGTATAATTTTCTTCTCGTTGCCTCAGTTGTCAAGTGGTAAAGCGTCGGTCCCGATCGTAAACCGAAGATCATGGGTTCGACCCCCCATCTGAGGCTCAGATTCAAATATTTTAGATTCCTAAAGTTGTCCACAAATCTCGTGACTCAATGTTGGAGTCAGTGCAAAGCTATTTGCAAGATGATTGGCCAACCAACCCTAAAAAGTCAGGCCAATGACAGTGCTACTTGGTCGTTGACAGTACCATCGCGTGGGAATCAATTCCCGCGCATGCGCAGATTACGTGTCAAATTGTGCCTTGTGTAAATGCTTCGACCCAACTGCAATGTTGAAGCACTGATTACTCGGAGAATACGCACGTCTGATTGGAAGCGCATAAGAAACAATGTTTAAGGATGCAACATTGACGATAGCATGTAATCTTCACTATGGTTGTTACATACTCTATGGTTCATCACGAAGACCAATAATTATTCGTAGATCATTCAAAGTATAGCCTATGAATGACGTCACTTTCTGTTATTATATACAGTATTCGCCTCAGTGGCCAAGTGGTAAGGCGTCGGTCTCGTAAACCGAAGATCATGGGTTCAACCCCCATCTGAGGCATATTTTTACCTGTTTTTTCAACTATGGTATCATGAACTGAAAACGTGCTTGAATACGCATTCACCTGGGTCTTTGTTCAATAAAACAACAGAAATATCTTTAGTATGTATGTATGTACTAGTATACTGGCTATTTTGGTACGTACAATAATAATCACTGCACATGCGTACTAGCACGTGTGTTATTTCCACTCAATCCAATGAAAACTGTTATGTGTGCTACAAATCATAATTCCAATGGGTCATCAATATCAAGCAGTATCAATATTAAACAAACTGCTTTCTTTCAAGTGTTACGCATTTACTGTTTATATTTTCTCCTATACATGTCCCTAATTATACATGTCCGTCACCGTCACTGCCATAATCCTTGCATACGGGTACCTGTATAACTCAACATTGCGCACACAGAGAACTAACACCGTGACGACCCTCAGACTGCGTCAAAAAATGACGAGTTCCGTAGTTACTATAGAAACTATCGCGATCAATTTCGTCTGCGTAGGGTAGGAGGTGTATTTCGCCGTGTAAATGTTCGATAGCTCACCAAACCAACGGGAAACAGAGAAACCAGTAATACATGAAATTCCCCTCCATTCTCGCATGGAAACAGAATGATGGCACTATAACTGGAAACTCGGCTGTTTGTGGTCTAATAAATCGATTGTCACTTTTTAGTTGAAGCGGGGACGTCGTCACCTACGCATGCGTCAGGTGGCCATAGCGTGTCATTGTTTACAAACAAGCGTCTACCCATAAGCCTTTGCGTTTTAGCGTGTGTCGTTATCGTCGCCTGGGACTCAATTCCCGCGCATGCGCATGTGACGACCCCCACAGTAGTAAATACTTATACTTTATTAAACACATAAAATTCCCCAGGAGGAATTAAAATGGTTACATTCAGTTTACACTAAACAAAACTAGACTAATAATACAAAACATTAACACTAAAGTAATGATTAAATAATAATAATAATCGAAATAAAGAGAAATAAAAAACATGAATAATAATATATCCCACTAACAGCAATAATAAAGAAACCATTGTTAAAAAGAAATAACCTTAATAATGCGTTAATGCATTAAGGGTTAAAAAATCTTGGAGGTGTTGCTGTCTTAAGTCGAGGGCAGTTTTAATGAATTGTCCGAGTGTGATATGAAATGAGGTAATGAGGTAAAAATCGATTGTCACTTTTTAGTTGAAGCGGGGACGTCGTCACCTACGCATGCGTCAGGTGGCCATAGCGTGTCATTGTTTACAAACAAGCGTCTACCCATAAGCCTTTGCGTTTTAGCGTGTGTCGTTATCGTCGCCTGGGACTCAATTCCCGCGCATGCGCATGTGACGACCCCCACAGTAGTAAATACTTATACTTTATTAAACACATAAAATTCCCCAGGAGGAATTAAAATGGTTACATTCAGTTTACACTAAACAAAACTAGACTAATAATACAAAACATTAACACTAAAGTAATGATTAAATAATAATAATAATCGAAATAAAGAGAAATAAAAAACATGAATAATAATATATCCCACTAACAGCAATAATAAAGAAACCATTGTTAAAAAGAAATAACCTTAATAATGCGTTAATGCATTAAGGGTTAAAAAATCTTGGAGGTGTTGCTGTCTTAAGTCGAGGGCAGTTTTAATGAATTGTCCGAGTGTGATATGAAATGAGGTAAAATTATAACTCATTGTCAGTGCAAATTGTTCATTAATTGTAAAATCATCAAAATTATTAATTTGTTTCTTACATTTCTCAAATATTAATTTTCTTTGGTCATTGTAAAATGGACAAGTCATGGTGAAATGTTGTTCGTTTTCTGTTTGGTTTTTTGTGCAAAGTTCACATGCTCTTTCTTTTACAGGTGTTTTTAGTTTGGAATGTCGTCCTGTTTCTATTTTTAAATTGTGGTTGCTTAGTCGAAATTTACATAATGTTTGTCTTAGTTCAACATTTTTCAGTGATATCAAATAGTTTTCTAATTCAAATTTATTTTTAAATTTTCTGTATGTTCTCAATTTATTACCCTCTCAATCATTATTCAATTCTTCTTTCCAGTACTGTTTAAATTGTTTTTCCAATTGTATTTGTAAATTTTTGTTTTCAGCAGTTGTTGTTATTCTGTCCAAATTAATTGTGTCACTTTCATTGATGTTGTTTAATTGCGTCGATATTGCGATATACCATTTCCTGTTCATTCGCTTGTTTAGTATTGCTGCTTCTTTAATTAGTACGTTAGGCGAGTTTATTGCGCGGTTGTAGTATTTGATCATTTGTTTTTGTATAAATAAATGTAGCGGATATTCTCCCAACTCTCTGTTCATTGCCATTATGGGAGTGTTTCTCTTGATACCGAGAATAAATCTGCAGAAATGTAAATGGATATCTTCAACTTCCGATTTATAAGAACTTTCATGGCCCCATTTATCACTGCCATATGTCAGAATAGGTCTTACGAATCTATGGAATAGGAACATCAATGTTTTTATATTTATATTAGGATTTTGTCCTAGTTTCCCTATTAACGAGAACATGGCATTTTGACCTTTACGTTTAAGTTTTTTATGGCATCTTTGAATTACCCATTTGGTAATACCAAGTGATACCAAGATAATTGATTTTTTTAACAATGTCAATTTGTTTGCTTTCATTGAAAAATATGTTATCTTCTAATAGTCTGTTCGATTTGTTGAAAACCATAATTTTAGTTTTTTCTGTGTTGACTAATAGTTTCTATTGTTTTGTGTAGGTGGATAAGTTATCTAAACAATTTTGTAAGCCGGTCTTATTTTCTGATAAAATCACTATATCATCGGCAAATAGAAGACTGCTAATTTTACTATCTTTTAAAGTGGGAGGGTAACATGTCGGTGAGTCAAAGATTCTTGGAATGTCGTTAATAAACAGGTTGAATAGTGTAGGACTCACGTTACAACCTTGTTTTACTCCTACTTTTGATGTGAAGGATATGGTCTGCATAAAAGTTTCCAAATAGTATAGCATTAAATGAAAGGCAAACTTTTGGCAACAAAAATATATAAGCTATTATTTTGCAGACAATTTAATAGTCTACATAGAACATACCAATATATATAACAACAGATCTGGTTACTTTGGTTACTATGCTATCTAAGTAACATAT